CCCACCTCGNTTGGGGGCAATAGGCTGACTCTGTAAACCGCTTAGAGAGGGCTGAAAGCCCTATGAAGCGGTATATAAGTCTAACTGCTATTGCTATTGCTATGTTGTAGGTTCTGCACCTCTTGCTGTCGTGACGAGGACTGTATGAGGACATCGTCCAGGTAGCAATGTAGTTGCACTGGACGAGATCTTAGGAAGGCCGCCACTGCTGCTAGGATCTTCATGAAAGTCCGAGGAGCAGACAACAGGCCAAAAGGCAGGGCTCTGTACTGGTAGTGGCGGCCTGCATAAAAGAATCTCAGGAACCTGCGGTAAGCCTTGCGAATGGGAATGTGTAAGTAGGCATCTTTGAAATCTATAGATGTTAAGGCCTGGCTGTGGCTTCTCAGGGGCCTGTACTGCCATGGCTGGGTGTGGGGATGCAAGGGCCAAATTTAGGACTTCCCCCCACTTACCACCTTACAGTTGGGAAGGTGCCTTAGCGCTCTAGCGAAGAGACACTGAAGGCAGGGAAGGCAAGGTTCAGCAATCCTTGATGGCAATGAGCAATTTAGTGCGAGCTCTGAAGCTCCCAGCATCCACGCAGGTCAGATGCTGTGGAGTGCGACCTTGTAGGGCCACAAGCCTCCTTTGCCACCCACTGCAGAGTTGCGTTGGTTAATGAAGACAAAACCCGCCAGAATGACCAGTAAGGAAGGCTCCTGGCGGCGACCTGCAAGAGACAGGCAATCAGGCAGCTGCGGCAATTTTTGTGGCAAAAACTAGGTCAAACAAAATGGCGGCCACAACTTTTGTCCCTCTCAAAATGGCCACCACAAAGTACAACATCCTTAAAATGGCCACCTGAATTCACTGGAGAGTCCCAAGACTCCGCACAAACTACCGGCTCCCTTAGAAACGCAGTCAGAAGCAGGAAGGTTTCAGCGGGGAGAAAGATCGCAGCGGGATTGCGGCATTTGCGCTGGCATTGGCACTCCGACCCACGCGCCTCCACCAACAGCTGCCTGCAGCCTCACAGCGCCCGAGCGAGCCCAGGACACCGGAGTGGCTGAAAGTGGTGAGTTCAGGGAATTAAGGGGAAAATAACTCACCAAACCTGCTCACAATGATCCAAGTAGAAGGAAAGGAAAAAAGGGGATTTTTTTTTTTTAACCCCTTGGTTATTTGGGTGTCTACTAAATATATAACAGAGAGATACGTGGTGTGTGCATGGGGGGAAACATATTAGGGATGCACCTGTAATCAAATGACATACTGTAAGGGATGATGGGGTTTTTTTCCCCTTTTTTTTCCTTTTCTTGTGTGTGGGTTTTTTTTTCTTCTTTTCCCTCTGCCTTTCCTTTTCTATTGTTATGTGATTATGTTGTCTATGTAACAAAAATAAAATAAAATTATTTTAAAAAAAATTGAAACAGGATTATATGTAACTTGGGAGGGGGGGGAGAAGGGTTT